CCGGAGGTGCTGTGTGATGGTGCATTTGGGGACGGCGGCATCCTCTCCACCTGGTAGCCTGGTGGCTAACCCCCAGGCAGATTCCCACCCCCAGCCTCTGCCCAGAGTTCTTTGGCTCACAGCTCCTACTTCCTCAAACTCCACAGCAGCCAGAGCAGCAGGGCGTGGGGTTAAGGACTGCAGGCCAGCTGACTGCAGGCATGAAACAAGCCTGGTGGGACCCCCGCTGGCTCTCTGGGAGTTGTGCACCCTCAGGTGTGGGCACTGAAGCAAAGGTCAAGGAGGTCAAGGCCTTGACCTTTCCACACATCTATTACAAAAGGCAAGACTGTGTGTGTGTGTGTGTGTGTGTGCACGTGCTGTGACTTGTTAACTTACATAAGAACTGAAAAGATTGAACCATGCTAAAAGTGATTCTAATTAGTTATTCACGTTCATTCTTTATTCTTTTTCTGTACCAGGTAATTCAAAAACAATAGATTAAAGATATGCCGGGGGAGGGGATAGAGCTCAGTGGCAGAGCACATGCTTAGCATGCACAAGGTCCTGGGTTCAGTCCCTGGTACCTCCATTAACAAACAGACAAACAAACCAAACACACACACACACACAAGATATGCCAGATAAGCCTTGTGTGTGTGTATCACATGGTTACAAGATCATGTTCATACAGTTGCTGCAGGGGACCAGTGTTTGGATTCGTGAGCCATGTTGGGGGGATCGGAAATCATTGACAGCTACGTGGTGGCCAAGTGATCAGTCAAGTTCTAATGTAAAGCGAGTCTGCAAGGTTGACTTTGACTAACTACATCTTCTTGGCTGTCTAAGTATGAGGAGGCAAAACAAGCTTGCTGAGAGCGTTCACTAGCAGCTTCACACTTCATCTCCTGAGTGCTTCACGGACAGTAAACAAAGGCAGGCTGCTTACAAGGGTTTGGAACTAGGAGCACCAAAGCTGGTTCAACACTTCATAAGCAGCAATGTACATTTGGAGGAAAGACCTCAGTGCAGACACTGCTCAGGGCTAGACACCGTGTTCCTATCTCATACTCCAGCATCCACCCTCCTTCTGCAAGAAAATCCCAGAAAGGGGATGTCTCTCTCCAGCTATTGCAAAATGTTCAATTTGATCACACTTCTGGGAAGAGAAAGGTATTTTCCATCTTTAATACCATAAATAGTTTGTTTCTCAAACTGGCTCCAGGAAAAAGGGTAGACTGTCCCATATCTGAACGTCTGACTACTGCCAAAATATGCTGAAATATTTTCCAAAAAAACCATGTCGTAAGCATTAAGTCTTATTAAATTTTGTGCTTTGGTGAAGGGTTCTTAAGATCTGGAGACTAAAACGTTCTTTAAAAAATAAGTCTACGGTTTTATCTTCTGAATATCACTCTGCTCAGAGACAACTCTCAACAATCCTCTCCCAAGTATTTTCCAGAATAACTTCGGTAATAACAGCAAAACCAAGGACTTCTTCTCCTGTCCAGGAGAGTCTTTCCTTTGAGAGAGTTAAGAAAAGGCTTACAGAATCTTGGTTTGAAATGCACACATTTTTTTTTGTACTGCAGCAGGGTTCAGTGCAATACATCTTCTAGCTAAACTGAAGGTTACCATTTGGTTGAACACCAGGACTGACCTGGTAATCTTGAGGTAAAGGTGCAGCCAACCGCACCCTCTCCATTTCCTGCGGGCACTTTCAACAGACAGAAGGGCCCGGGCTGGGAGGCTGGTTGAGCATCCCATAGTAATGGAGGTGGGTCAGGAAGACAACTTCTACTCCCATTTACCTTCCCAGGTAATTCCAACGCCATGCCTACCATAACCTACTGTGAGCTCAACTGTCGGTCCTTCATAATTCGGGTAAATTTAAAACGGTTCCTTTCCCGCAAGTAGAAAGTCTACTGTGGGCTTGTCCAGTGCTCCGTCCCTGGTACCCACGACAGCCTGAGCACACCAGATGCTCAACAGACACTACACGAATCGACTACTCATTCTAATATTGAAAGCCCATGAATGCATTTCCCTGAATCCCATTTAGAATCAGGAACATTTTGTGTTTGTTGTTTTTGCTTCACAAATGAGTTAAATGTTATAGCAAGCTCCTATCTTCAAATAAGATATATTTCTACTAAAATAAAGGAGGTTTATTATAAGACTTCCAGGATTAAAGAGAGACCAGAAATGTTGTCAGTTCTCAATAAATGTTATTAATGACCATGACAGTTCTGGCTGTAATTGAACCCAAAATATTGGTTATGCCAGAAACATATTCATTATATTAAAAAGTTACACAGAAATTAAACCTTAGACTTAAGACTCAGAAAAAAACTAGTTTCAAGTCTCTGATGTATTGGTGGCTGAGGAACTTTGGGCACTTTATATTAACCTCTTCAAGCTTATTTTCTTATTTTAAAATGGGAATGATAGTATTTGCCTATGATAACAGTGTTTACCAATAACAAGGTTGTTGTGAAGATTAAATAATGTAATTTATTGTTAAGCGCTAAAATATGAAAACAAATGTATGTGTGTATATGCATGACTGGGACATTGTGCTGGACACCAGAGATCAACACATCGTAACTGACTGTACTTCAATAAAAAAAATAAAGTGCTGGATTGAATATTTGGCAGAGAGAGAATGCGCGTTTAATATGTTCCATCGATAGTAATGATTTAATCCAATGGTTTTCCTTCCCTTCTTTGTCCTTTTTCGCAGTAAAGCTAGAACATTTTATTTTTCCTCTTAATAAGATTTTTGCCCATTCTTGTTGACTATAATTACCTCTGTTCCTCGGAGGTCCTTAGGAAAATAGATCTCTTCAGTCATTTGAACACTGAGACCAAAATCCACCAAAACAGCTTTTGTGGACATGAAAACAATGTTGCTAGCTATAGAGAGAGAAGAATGTTCAGTCAAAAATTGTGTAGACATTCATACATAAAATGAAAATATTATTTAAAACAATGAGTTCTAAATATAGATCAAAATGCTTCCCCTACTAAAATAGGTGTATTATTGTATTCAATAAAGAAGGATGAACCTGGGTAAGAGTTTAGGTAAAAATCACTTCAGATTTGTCAAGAATTCAGCCAAGGTGGATATAAATGATTGCAGCCATTAATAATTCTCAAAATACAACAGCCAAGACATGGAAACAACCTAAGTGCCCATCAATGGACAAATGGATAAAGAAGATGAGAGATACATATATAAATTTTGTGATATGTCATATATATAGATTATGTGAGATATACATATAATGGAATATTATTTAGTCATAAAAAGGCAGGAAATCCTGCTATTTGTGAGAACACTGATGAACTTTGAGGGCATTATGCTAAGCAATGTAAGACAAATACCATATGATCTCACTTACGTGAGGAATTTTTTAAAAAACAGCAAGAACAACAAACTCATAGGAACAGAGAACAGAGTGGTTGCCAGGGGTGGTGGGGCAGGGGGCCAAAACACGGGAGTACAAACTTCCAGTAGTAAGAAAAATAAGTCCTGGGGATGTAATGTACAGCATGGTGACTCTGTTTACCAATACTGTATTGTACATCTGCAAATTGCTAAGACAGTAGATTTTAAAAGTTCTCACCACAAAAAAAAATATAAACATGTGAAGTGATAGATGCTTTAACTAACTTTATCGTGGTGATCACTTTGCAGTCTATACATGTATTAAGTCATTACATCGTACACCTTAAACTCACATGTTGTGTGTCAACTATATCTCAGTAAAGCTGGAAGAATATTTTTAAATATTTGATACATTGTTTCAAAGTCTAAGATATAAGCCTACTATTATCAAGCCACTTTCTAAAACAAAAAAGTAAAAGACCCACTTTTTGTCAGCACAAGTTGTGCGAGTCCGATTGCTCATTAGATATTAGGGGTTCGTGGTGGGTCTCTCTCAAGTATTTCTCCACAGTCTCTCACTCCTAGAATGCAGTTAGTGAAGGCTTCTTTAATGGACTGTTGACAAATTAGCATTCAGACTTAGAAAACTACTTGTTTTCCAAAAATATTGACTGTGTTTTTAAGGAAGTAACTGCTTTAAAAGCCTCATTAACAAGGGCATAAGCAGTCGTTACTGACGTGTAGCTATCATCTTTTCCACAACAATTGGAAAATCGTTCTTCCTATGACTTGGAAAGCTTTACTGACCCCACTTGACTCTACAGTGTGTTTCCAGAGCCCAAGGGAGGACAGTGGAAAGTGCTCCCAGGGTGGGGGTCGGGTTGGGATGGGGGTCCTCCCTGCCGCTGAGGACCTTCAGATTGAAGGGAGGAGCCTGTCTGCCTGCGGTCTAACTAGTTTCTTTAAGCCAAAAAGGGACCCATCCAAAGATAAACTCACGTTTAATATCATGGTGAATCACTTTCTTCGAGTGTAGAAAATCAAGTCCCTTGAGAACATGCTTTGTCACCCAGATAATTTCAAATTCTCTCATTGGTCCACAGCTCTCCAGTTTCTCCAGAACAGACCCTCCCTCGCCTGCTTCCATGAAGAGATGGACGGTTTCGCCCCACAGAACCGCGCCATACAACTCAGCGATGTTCTCGTGCCGGAAGCAAGCCTGGATTTCCACGTCAGATGGCTTAAACTGGTCTACTGGGATCTGGAACACAATAATACAAGGAAGATTCTAAACAACCACAGGATAATGAAAAAAATGTATACACAATATAGGTCAACCTGCCAACCAGAAGGCAAATACACCCCCTCGAGGACTGCATGTGTTATCAAGCTGTCCTGCCAAGTTAAGATGATGTTTACTTAGATCTGCCTTTGTGTCTGCTTCAGGTAAAATACTCAAAATAAGGAAATTAAAAACAAAATAATGAAATACTACTTCATTTAGAATATAGACATCCAACCAAAGAATGATTCATGATCAAATCAAAAGAAATAATTTCCCACGTGTAATTTCTGTGGCACCTAGATTTGAGGTCATATTTTCAGTATTCCTTGTCATGAAATAAGACATGTTTGGCCTCACAGTTCATGGTCTAACAGTGCACCTGAATAGCACTGGTCGTCTATTCTATGGAAGATTGGAAGGCATTAATAAGGAAGGAATTCAGTATAGATAGATATGGAATGTCTCCAAAATACAGTGTTAGACTGGAATAAGCAAGATGCAGAAGGCCATATGTTATGTTCCCATTTGAAAAATAATTTTCAGCATATATATAAATGTCCATAGAAATTTTCTTGAAGGACATGTAAGAACCCATGAACAGTAGTTGCCTCAAGGAAAGAGATCTCATTTTTCAGCCTGCATCCTTTTGAACCTGTGTGGGATTGTTAATCATCTTGTATGTTTCTCTTTTTTAAGGAAAAAATTCTACTTAAAAATTAAATATAAGCACTTCAAGGAAAACAAACCCACAAAGCCATTTTTCTGTAATGAAACTGAAAAATGGGCCACTTTGGTTCTAAGAGCTTTATAAAATATCTCCAGATTTTTTAAAAACTTAGGCATATCTCCTTCCAAATGCAATCTTCAAATGACTTACTACAGTAAGTTAGTAGTAAGTACGTCCTTTTTTTCCTTTTAATAAAAGATGCTCTAGCCAGCCTTAATGGAGCAAAAAATGAGGCCAAAATATTGTTGCTCTTTCTATGATGATAACAGAGATTAAGATAATATTCAGTAATTATTTTCCATTTTGGTTTTTGTTAAATCAGAAGTGAGTTTATTTTATTGCATTAAAAAAAACTTTAAAACAGACATATATAAAAGTGGAAAACTGGTTAAGTATCAAACTCAGTGAATTTTCAACTGAACAAACCCACATAACCACCATCAAGACAGGAAACAGACTGCTACCAGCACCCCAGAAACCCCCTCCTGACCCCTGTCTGCCGCCACTCCTCACAGGCACCTGCTCACCTGACTTCCAGCAGCACCGGTTTGTTCAGCCTTTGTTTTGGGCCGTTGTAGACATGGAATCTTGCGACAGCAGATCTTATTTTCATTTTAATTATAATTAAATGCCTGGTCGTTTGGCCTAACCTCATGTAGCTGTATCTACATCAGTACAGCTGTGAATCATCTCTTTTCTGTACCGCATCCCACTGTGTAAACATACTACCTTTCAGCATCTGGAAACATTCCAGTTCGGGGCTATTACAAATACTGCAATGAACATCCTGGCACATAGCTCCCGGTGACCACGTGAGCAAGCCTGTCGGGTGTACGCCCGCAGGAGCGGGACTGCTGGTCACCGGGCGTGTGTGCGTTCCCTGTGGTAGGTCCTGCCAAACAGTCTTCCAAAGTGGGGGCAGCTCAGTAATGACTGCTCAGTGAGAAGAGACGACGTCTTTCCAGTACTTGGTCTATTTAAACTCAGCCCTTTAATCTGCAGTCCTGAGAAGCCTGGCAGCTTTCCCAGCATCTGCTTCGCCGCCTGGTCCCCTCTCCAGGGGGTGGGATTAAAGGAGCAGCAAAATTTGCTCCTGCAGGACAGCTCCCTTCCCCCTGCCACCGGGCCATGGGAGGGATGCAGTTTCCCACACTGATGCCAAATAAGCCAGTGCTTTCTTTTTAATCAAAGCAAACGAAATCAACTGTGCACTTCAGCAGAGTTAGGGGCAGGTAGCAAACAGATCTAGAAACATAGATGCTTTTTTGGACAGAGCATCCTTAGATAAGATCCAGTCCAAGGGTAGCCAGCTGTGAGGAAAGCAAATAAACACACAAGAGCCACAATGCCCAACACGCAGGGCACGCTGTCTGGTTATGAAGTACATACCAATTTACACGCCATTCTTTTCTTCGTCTTTATGTCCTGGGCTAAGTACACTTTTCCAAAGGCCCCCCGAGGAATGAAATCGGAGCCAATGTTCCTGTACGTCAGCTTCCAAGGGATGAGCAGGACATCAGAGTCTATCTGATAACGTCCTTCCGGGGAGTGATCACCTGCAACAGAGTGAAAATGTGGGAGGGTGAGAATTTCAGCAAAGTCCTTTTTCTAAGACCCACCTTTTGGAAACTGGTTACATTAGACTGCACCCTACACGC